ACACACACACACACACACACACACACACAGACACACACACACACACACATGCCAGACACACACGCACGCGCTTACGCCACACACACAGAGCTTCCAGACGCTGATCCGGCATCTTCATGTGTGTGTTTGTGAACTCATCCTCATCCATGTGTTTGTGAACCTTCGTGTGTGTGTGTGTGTGTGTGTGTGTGTGTGTAATGAGCACCTCTGCACATTGTATCTTAATGGATTTATTGTATTTGAAAACAACATCAATCAGGACTAACAAAAACCAGAAACAACTATCTAACTAATGCTGAGATGACTTTAATATTTGTGTGCAATAATTCCAAAATGCCTGATGTCTAATAATTATAGAATATTAATGATGATGATGAATTACGTCTCTCATTATGACGCTGCCTATAGAATGTGCTTGAGTGTGAGTTATCAGCTATAAAAGTCTGGTACTTTCTGAAAAATAAATGTTTTGCATCAAATAAAATGAAGCGCTGCAGTGAGAGATGTTTATTGTGCATTATTGTTTTTACATGCTTGTCAGATTAATCAATAATATTTCTGCTACAAAACAAGAGAAAGACCATAATAAATCATTTAATTCAATGCTGAAAGCTGCAAAACTGTCATCAATAACTAAATATAAATATAATATACACCTCAAGAAAGAATGGACAAAAGAAAGTTTATTTCTACAGCACATTTCATACACAGTGGCAACTCAAAGTGCTCTACATGAACAAGTTTAAGAACATAAAAAACAAACAATAAGAATGATTAAAACAGATTAAAATAAGTTAAACAGGTTATAAAGCAGCAGTGTGATCTGCCGGACGCAGCGCAGGGCTCATTCAGTGAAGGCTCAGCTGAACAGACGTGTGATCAGTCTTGATGTGAGTGTGCCTAATGTTGGAGCACATCTGATCATTTCCTGAAGCTGACTCCAGCAAAGAAAGGAAGAAAAGTCTCACTTCTGCCACTCTTTAAAGTTTTGTTTTGCTTTGTGTGATTGTAAATGCTCATTCTGAGCTGATCTTCATTCTCTGTTGGGGGAATACAGCAGGTGAATCAGCCGACCCAATATATGAGCAGGACTCTCGCGATGACCACCGGCGCTGTACCGCTCTTTACTATGAGCCGCAGTTTCAGTGTACACCTAGTAAAGGCCAGCTTCTTTGGCCATGACATGTACATTTAGCAGACATTTGCGCTGAAACACAGTGAATGCAACACATCAAGATTCAGGCATCTTTTCTGAAAACACTCGATCGATCTCGGCTGGATCCACATTCACCACACGTCATGATTGCGTTCATCTGCGCCTCAACTTTAGGTGGGGTTGGCAAACCTGTGCTCTTCACTCCTCGGCTGTTTGCTATCACAGCTCCCTCTCTGTCATCTGACAGCGGAAAGCCTTCAGTGGCAGCTCATATGAGCAATACAGCGCAGGGAAGAGCCATTCAGCACGATTTCAGAAAAACTAAACCGGTCGCACTACACCCATCATATGCAGTCGCACACACGCTCCCGAATATATCATGACGGCGCAGATTAGTTTTCGGGCGCAAATGTGACAAAAATGGTTGCATTGTCAAGCCCTGTGAGCTCTTCTGAAGCATCATGAGTGAATCTGCTCACGACTGTGTTCAGTGACATTACTGCTCATGTTCATCTGTGGACTAACCATTACACTCAGTCATTCAGACATTAATAAAGTCCCTCAGACCATCAGGGGTCTCCACAGCGGAATGAACCGCCAACTATTCCAGCATATGTTTTACACAGCAGATACCCTTCCAGCTGCAATCCAGTAATGGGAAACACCCATACACACTCATACACTACGGTCAGTGTAGTTGATCAGTTCCCCTATAGCGCATGTGTTTGAGAAACCGCAGAGCACCCGGAGGAAACCCACGCCAACACGGGGAGAACATGCAAACTCCACACAGAAACACACTGACCCAGCCGAGACTCAAACCAGAGACCTTCTTGCTGTGATAATAAGTGGTAATGATGATGTGCCCCTCTGAGTACAGTCAGGACATTACTACACCAACATCCATCCTCACGTCTCTGATGTCGTCTGTTGTGAAACTGAATCAGAGTGTTTGAGTTTAATGAGAGGCTGAATGTTTGAGTGTAGATGATGGAGTGTGTGTGTGTTTGTGTGTGTGTGTGTGTGTGTGTGTGTGTGTGTGTGTGTGTGTGTAGTTGAATTCTGTAATCCACACTGTAAACACTGCATCATGTGATTATGTGTGCAATATATCAGTTGTGGTTTCTCCTGACTCTGTGTGTGTGTGTGTGTGTGTGTGTGTGTGTGTGTGTGTGTGTGTGTGTGTGTGTGTGTGTGTGTGTGTGTGTGTGTGCTCAGTGAAGTCATGTGTTTACAGTTGCCCTGATGAACAGTTCTCCACTAACACTGATTGTTCAGTCCTCCTCCACTCTCCCTCATCAGTGTCTGTCTTCTGTTGAACACTGCAGGACACTCAGTTCACCACTGACCGCCAACACTCAGAGCCTCAAAGGTTTAGACACTTGAGGGAGAGGTGTGTGTGTGTGTGTGTGTGTGTGTGTGTGTGCGTGCGTGCGTGCGTGCGTGCGTGCGTGCGTGCGTGCGTGCGTGCGTGCGTGTGTGTGTGTGTGTGTGTGTGCATGCGTGCGTACGTGCGTGTGTGTGTACGTGCGCGTGTGTGTGTTTGAGTGAACTGACCCTTGAGGAGGAGAAGAGGTAAAGTACACCTCACACTCACAGAACAACAGCATAACAGATGATGATGATGATGATGATGATGATGATGATGATGATGATGATGATGATGATGATGGTGGTGGTGATGAAGATGCTGTAGCTGTATGGATATTACAGTTTTTTCCAGCTGCTTACACACAAAATCTTTTCTTGTCACACGATTTCTGAAACCGCTCACTCAAAATGCAGAACTACACCTCAAATCTCCAACAGCATGAGCCGTGTCTCAGCCTGAACTCATCTGCATAACACACTTCTCTCAACACCCGACACACAACACTACACACACACACACACACAGGAAACCAGCTGCTTTCCTTTCCAAACACAACTAATCAGAATGAAACACACACACACACACACACACACACACACACACACACACACACACACACACACACACACACACACGCACACTTTTCCTGATTGATCAGCTGATCAGTGCTTTACTGTAGTATAGGTCTATAAATAGGTCAAACATGTGTTCTGGTCCAGGTAGACGGGTTTGTCCGCCGTCTGCAGTGTGTGCCATATTCCCCTTTCCTAAATGCTAAATTCCTTCAGAGGAGAATAGTGACGTGTTTCCCGGTCTGCCTCTGCAGTGTATGATGCCAACATGACGCCTGCATGACACCTCACATATACATTACACCCAGTGTGTGTATGGTTGTGTTGTATGCGTCTGTGTACATCTGCGCTGTCTGGCCTGCTGAATATGATATAATATGTGTCTGAAAGAGCTGCAGATTTAGATCATCAGTGTTGACATGCTCCATCCAAAACTGTTATCATAAAGGAAGAGTTCACCGTTTGATGCCAATGCTTGATTCTGACGAGTGTTTACAGCATTGTGAATGCAGCGTTACGTTCTGCTGCAGGTGCGAGGCGTTCTGCACTGTGTGTGTGTGTGTGTGTGTGTGTGTGTGTGTGTGTGTGCAGTTTTCAGAATTGTGTGTTGAGTTTTGAAAAAAGTAGACGCTGTTTTGAAAACGTTTGTGAGCAGCTGGAAAGACTGTAAGTGTTTGTGTGTTTATGTAACCCCGCCATGCAGTCTTACACCACCCAACCCGCTCCGAGCTGGTATCGAACCGACAACCTTTCGCATGGGAGTCGGGTGCTCTACCTAGGAGGCTAAATAACCTCTAGCTTTTGTTGCTAGAGCACCTTCAGAGGTCAGAGGAGTGAGGTTTACCTGCACAGCACACACTAGCTGACCTCTGTTACATTAAGTGTGTGTGTGTGTGTGTGTGTGTGTGCTGCAGTGTCCAGCAGAGGGCGCCACATCCTCCAGCAGATCTGCCACACAGCTGAAGCACTGGCACAGCTGCTGCTCCCCCTGCTGGTGTACAGCGGGTTTGCAGACGAGCCCTCAGCTGCTCAGTGGTTGCTGGAGTTCTAGCTCAGGATATTGTGCTGCAGTGTTCAGAGGTAACGACAGACACACATCTACAACACTGCAGTACACAACCACACTGTACAACTGCTGTACCTGACTGCAATACAGGACAGAACACAGACATCAGCATATCGCCCTGCTCAGATGATTTACTGTGTCTGAGCTGTTTACCTCACGACACCGCACTCCTGCAGGACTGAACTCTGCTGCACTTATACTTCTGTTTTATTCGTAAGGGTGTGTGTGTGTGTGTGTGTATGTGTGTGTGTGTGCGCGCAGTCACACCTGTGCTCTGACCTCCTGACCCCTGTGTTGACAGACTGTGGTTCAGTGCAGTGATGATGTCATCAGTTTGAACTGTTTGACCTTTGACCTGCAGTCTTGACTTCCTCTAAATCTGCCTGAACTACACACACACACACACACACACACACACAGCAGATGATGAAGCCTCTGGATGAAGCTAACATGTGCACAACTCTACGACACACTTCACTTCACACACTACAAATGTGCCTCTGTTTGTGGGCTTGTGTGTGAGTGTGTGCGAGAGAGAGTGTGTGTGTGAGAGAGAGTGTGAGAGAGTGTGTGTTGAATGTGTGTGAGTGTGTTCATTGAGTGTGTCTTCAGTGTGTGTGTGTTCAGCATGTGTTTGTTCATTGTGAGTTCCGTGTGTGTGTGTGTGTTTGTTCAATGTGTGCGTGTGTGAGTTCAGTGTGTGTGTGTATTTAGTTTTTGTGTGTGTTCAGTGTGTGTGTGTGTGTGTGTGTGTGTGTCTGTATTTAGTTTGTCTGTGTGTTCAGTGTGTGTGTGTGTGTGTGTGTGTGTGTGTGTGTGTGTGTGTGTGTGTGTGTGAGTGAGTTCAGTGTGTGTGTGTGTGTGTGAGTTTGAGTGGTCTTGTTCTGCAGGTTGGTTCAGATCTGTAATCTCTCTCTCTTATGAGTGACATCATGATTGATTCATTCGTTTGTTGTGTGTAATGACATCACTGAGTGTGTGTGTGTGTGTGGGATCAGTGCTGATCAGTCTGAACATGCAGTGCAAACACACACACACACACACATTTGTTGATGTGTGTGAAGATAACTCAGTCCATAATAACACTGCTGAGCTGTTATACAAGCGCTTCATGTGTGTGTGTGTGTGTGTGTGTGTGTGTGTGTGTGTGTGTGTGTGTGTGTGTGTGTGTGTGTGTGTGTGTGTGCGTGTGCGCAGGGGCTCGATCATGCGTTCCCGCAGCAGCAGTCTAGAGGACACCGGGAAGGCGGGGCTTTCTTCACCCAGGGGCGGGACGCGGCGGGACCAGGCCAATCACAGCAGTCGACGCCCTCAAGAAGCCACACCCACCATCCACAGAAACCACAGACAGAGGGAGCACAAGCCGAAGCCGAAGAGTCGAGACCTGACACGCGATGACCTGCTGTTCCTGCTCAGCATGCTGGAGGGAGAACTGCAGGTCAGCCCCGCCCCCTAAATCTACATATGCTAATCAGAGACACACCCACTAGTTCCAACATTACTTCCTCACAGAGTTCATCAGCGTGTCAGAATCCTGACTGTTCTGTGGGTCTCGTCTGTCACAGCTGAGCTGTATTCTGTATTCTCTATTGGGTTCGGGTCAGGTGATTGGCTGGGCCATTCTACAGCTTGAGTTCTCTCTGAAAGCATCTGAGAGTCTCCTCGGCTGTGTTTGGATCAATGTCTGATCTGCATGTACACGGAGGAAGCGCAGAGTCTTGCTGGAGAACTGCTGAGAGATTTCAGCTGCTGTCTGGGCTTTACACCTCCCTTTCTTCATGTGTTCAACACTTTCTCCTGCTGCATTTCACTTTATTACACACCGCTGCATCTGTAAACTCATTAGATGTTGTTCAGTACTTACTTCCCTGCTGTACACCATCATCATATATACTCTATATGTGTGTGTGTGTGTGTGTGTGTGTGTGTGTGTGACTCAGGCCAGAGACGAGGTGATCACCGTCCTGAAAGCGGAGAAAATCGACCTGGCGCTGCTGGAGGCCAAATACGGTTTCGTGACGCCGACGGCGGTGCTGAAGAGCCTGCAGAGAGACGGCCTACAGCAGAGCAGCGGCTGGCAGGAGGACATCTACGAGAAGCCCATAGCAGAGGTGTGTGTGTGTGTGTGTGTGTGTGTGTGTGAGAGAGAGTGTGTTTAACAGTGTATGTGTGTGTGTCAGCTGGACAGGCTGGTGGAGAAGCAGAGGGAAACACAC